TCTGAGGGCTCCACAAATGACTGATAGTTTTAAAAGGGGTCTAAAAACGTACCTTTTTAAAAAGTGTTTTAATATTTAGAGTTTAAATTTCTGTGCTAATCTCAGTTGGCAGCTGGTTTTAATTGCTGTATATATTATGACTCTTTTCTGTAGCACTTTGAGATTTTCTTTAAAATGTAAAGTGCTTTATAAATAAAATATATTATTATTATTATTATTATTATTAATGAGTTCAATGTTCTTCAGTGGCCTTCTCAGTCACCGGACCTGATGGCAATAGAACTCCTTTAGGATGTAGTAAAACAGGAGACTCGCAGAATGAAAGTTCACCTGAAAAATCTGCAGGAATTGCATGATGCAATCATGTCAACATGGACCAGAATCTCAAAGGAATGTTTCCAACATCTTGTGGATTACATGCCATGAAGAATCGAGGCTGTTTTGAGAGCAAGTATTAGTAAAGAGTTCCTAATAAAATTGCTTGGTGAGTGTTCATACATAGAATACATGTTTAAAAGTATGTGGATACCTGAACATCATAACCCCACATATGGCCCACATATGAGTGTGAATGTCAGATGTCCAAAAACCTTTGGCCACATAGTATACATAAAAAGCAGTTAAGAAATTAAAAGATTACTATGCCAATATAAACATGCTTTAATGGTGAACTGTGAATTAGCTTGAACTCCACTGTAGAATGCTAACCGCAAGTTTTCAATTGCTTTTTCCCCCCACAGTGTTTATTTTTTACAGTGTACTTTCCTTTAAAGAAGCAGTTTATAATTTTTAAAATAAGGATTTTCTACTCCCTACCCACCCTATACATTTTACTGAAACTGTATTTGCCTTATGAGTTGCCTTTTTTGAAAAAGCGGACTTGCAGCTCTGGTCTTGCTGTAGGTGGAGCTAATTATAGCTATTATTTTAACAGAAGCCAGAAACAAAGAAACAAAGAAAATCCTTTGCAAAGCAATATTGGGGAGTACATTTTTTTCTAATATATCTATTTAAATTCAGAGTCCAAAACATCAAACTCAGACCTTTGAAGAAAACTCCCTAAAATTTCATTTATTAACTTATGTATTAATGTTAGCATTTTAGGTCAAGTATTCTTCAACTAAAATGCTAAGTATATGGAAAATGCATGCTGGTAAAAGGCCATTTTATTTACCTTAAAGGAGACGTGCTGTTCCATGTGGCGGAGGAGCTGTGGCTTCTGTGCTGCAGTGAAATCACACTCAGTACATTTGAACTGCTTACCTACAGTAGAGTGAAATATAAGCAGCTGTTTCAATACAGATTCATACATATCTTTAGATGTTATACTCCTGTTATACACAAGCTCATACAATGTAATCTTGGTGGTTACAAAAATAGCTACGTTATCTCCACCATACAGCCATAGATCATATTTGTTATGGGCTTCCTTGCATCTATTAGGCTTTATCTCAGTATCGTATTTATGCAGAATTCTATCTCAAATAAACTGGGCTATTCATAGTCATATTTATATTGTACTAAGTTAGCTGATTCGATGTTATCCTTTCTACAAATTCCTCTTTGACAAAACCACACTGCAAAAAGTAAAAAGATATCTAAGTAAAATATCTTGAATTTAAGCAAATTCAACAAATATTTCCCTTTATGTTTTTTTAAAAAAATTAATATTAGATAATTACTCCTCTTTCTATATACATTTACTCACTTCAAGCCTGACATTGTCTTATTCTATTAGCAAATAATTTAGCTTATTTCAAGTGTTTATTTCTAGAAAGAAGCAAAACTATCTGCCACTAGAATAAGACAATGTAAGCTTCAAATTAGTAAATATGTCAGACTAAATGGTCTTATATTTGTAATATAATAATCTCATAATGAAAAATATTAGATAACCTTCATTCAAGACATCTTCACTTGCTAAGATATCAATTTTTGCAGTATATTATCTATGTGCACTTTTCCAACCACATTCTAAGTTTTCTTAACAATCATTACTTGTGTGACTGAATTCTATTAAGTGTTCCTCTATCAAGATTCGTGTTTGGGATCCACTCAGCACTCGTGCATTGCTCATCTCCCTCCTGTCTGTTCTCTCATTAGCTGTGTTCATGAGTGTTTTTCACTTCATATAATAAATAATACATATATGAACTGTAACATGTAAAATTTTCACGTGGTAGCCATTTATAAACTGAAATTTATAGTCTACTCCTGAAAGAAGTAAATATCTTCCATCTCCCTGTATAACTGATTGAGGAGCTATTCGTATTAAGGAGACAATAAAAAGTGGTTCACCGTCTGCTGAGTGCATGAGCTTGTGGCTCTTTAGGGTGCACTTGGACTTGAACTTCTTCCCGCACAGATCACACAGGTGGCTCTTCTCTGTGTTGTGCCTGTTGAAATGAGCCTTCAGGTTGCTTTTGCTGCGTGAGGCGTAATCACACAATGAGCATTTAAAGGGTTTTACTCCTGTATGTGTGAACAAAAACAGATAGTCGGTGAGCTTGATATGTGTATTACAGGCAGATTTCAAAACATACTAAGTAATGAAAAATGAACATATTGCATATGGGCTGGACATTTTTAAAGTAAAAGTAAAGAAAAAAAGACAGAAGATTTCACAAGTGCTTAAATAAATAAAAATAATACTGGTTTTTTGTTATTGTTGAGAGAAAATCTATTATTTTTCTGAGTTGGCACCCACAGTTTAAGTTCTTGTTGTGAGATTTTTTGAATAAGAGGTCATTTTACCCCACCTTCATGGGCCCAGATGTGCTGCTGCATGTCAGTTCCGTTTCTTGTGAAGTAGCAATCACAGTATGGACATTTAGAGGCTCGTTTTCCTATTACACCTTTTACATGGGCACGTATTCCCAGTGCCTCTAAAGTGGTCGTTAGTGATGTATCTAAACAGAAAAAGCACTTTATTACAATTATACCATAAAAATTGGGACAAAAAAAACTGCCTGGGGTGTTCATTTCTTTTACCAGGATGATTAGATTTGATATGATGCCTAAGTTTGTCTTCTGGAAATGCCTTCTTACAGATGGGACAAACAAAGCTCTTCTTAACCTAGAGTTATTTAAATAAATAAATAAATAAATCAGCAAACTGCAACTTCCATTGTTTTTTCTTTCCTCAGACAAACATCCTTAGCACTTACAATTTCTGAGTGAGTTTTAAGATGGGCCTGCAGTTTGTACTTGTCAGGCGTAGAGTACTGGCATCCTTCTGAGGGGCATCTGAGGAGAACATTACTGTGTCTC